ACTCTGAGGATCCCCCGGGCGGCGCGCGGAGAAGTCTCGCGGCCTTCAGGACTCCTTCAACTAAGTTACTTGCGAAATCAATCAGGCATGGCGTCGTGAGCTCCAAGGCGGACACCGACACACGTGTGAGTCATGCTCCGCGCCGCGCTCTGCTTGGCCGTCGCGCCCGCCGCGTCGCTGCGCGGCGCGACGCGGCACGCGCGCGCCGCGTCGCTGCGCGCCGCGTCGCCGAAGCGCCTGGAGTACGACCATCTGTACCACGCGGGCTCGCCCGTCGACGTCTTCAAGCACTGCGTGCTCGTGGCCCTGCTGCGGCGGTGCACGGAGAAGGCGAGCCCGCTGACGTACTGCGAGACGCACGCCGGCCGCGGCCTCTACGCGGTCGGCTCGCCGGAGGCGAAAACGCTCGCGGAGTCCGAGGACGGGCTCGGCGCGCTGCGCGTGCGCGCGCGCGGACGAGGCGAGCTCCACGGGGACATCGCCGCGTTCCTGGGCGCGCAGCGGCCCGACGAGTACGCCGGGTCCGCGGCGCTCGCGGCCGCGGCGCTGCGGCCCGGCGACGCGGCCGTCTTCTTCGAGCGCGACGGCGCGTGCGCGGGCGCGCTCGCCGGCGCCCTGGCCCGCCTCGGCGCGGCGCCGGAGACCACGGTCGAAGCCGCCGACGGCTACGCGGGCGCGCGGCGGCTCCGCGCGCCGACGCGCGGCCTCGTCTTCGTCGACCCGCCCTACCAGTCCGGCAGCGACACGGACCAGTGCGCCGCGCTCTGCGGCCACCTCCGGACGCACTGGCGCGCCGCGCGCGTCGCCATCTGGTACCCGCTCGGCGACGGCGACGGCGCCGCGCGGCGCGCGGACCGGCTCCGCGCGGCCGTCTCCGCGGCCGCGGGCGACGCGGACGTGCTCGACGCGCGGCTCGCCGTGCCCGCGGGCCGGCGGCTCCGGTCGTCGGGCGTGCTCCTCGTCCAGCCGCCCTACGGCTTCGACGACGACCTCGGCGAGCTGCTCCCGGAGCTCGCGGACCTCCTCGCGGCCGGCGGCGCCGCGGACGTCGCCTGGCTGCGGCGGAGCTAAACAATTTGATGCACGCGATTACAGCGCCGCGGACTCCTTGGACAGGTCCGCGACGAAGGTCGCGACCTGGTCCCGCTCCATGCGGGAGAAGCGGCGCTGCTGCGACAACAGCGCGCGGCCGTCCTTGTCCGTGCCCGTCCAGCTCACGTAGATCGTCAGCTTGCACAGCTCCGACACCTTCGCGCCGCCGCTCTTCGCGCATTTGTCGTCGCTCACGACGCACTGCTTCGACGCGTGCTTGTAGGCGCTGCCGTCGTAGTTGTACTCGTTCTCGACGCAGTCGCGGCTGTCGGCGTCGCAGTCGTAGCAGCCGCTGTCCCACGACACGCCCGTGACCTTGCCGTCCTCGACGCCGACCTCCGCGAAGAGCACGGGGAACGTGCTCGCGACGCCGTCGTGCGTCGCGCGCCACCGCCGCTGGTAGCTCCGCTGCGACTCGGTCTGCAGGCTCAGGCTCACGTCCGCCGCGTCGAGCATCGCCTGCGCGCCGGCGACGGCGCCGCCGTAGGGCGTCCAGGCCCGCGCCACCTCGAGCTTCGAGAAGGCGTCGAGCTCGAGCTTGAAGGGGATGCGCATGTAGGTCGTCCCCGTCTCCCAGTCCAGCGACGAGGCGAGCACGACGCAGACGTAGGTCGCGTCGCCGAGGGCGAGGGCCGGCGTCCCTCGGCCCGCCACGGTGCAGTCGGCCGCGCAGGCGCCGAGGAAAGCGACGACGAGGGCCGCGCGCAGGGACCGGCGCGACGGCGCGGCGCCCATCATGCCTCCTCTTGTTAAAAAACTGCAAAAACGCTTTTGCCACTTGTTTTTGTTGGGCATGGCTGGGTAAATGCTGGGTCTTTCGAGCGCTCTCGCGGCGCTCTGAGCGGTCATGAGCCGCCGTCCCAGCGCGCCGCCGCTGCCGCCGGACGTGCAGGCGTCGCCGATTCAGCCGCCGCCGGACGACGCGGAGACGGCGGCCGTCATGGCGCTCTCCGACGCGCTGGCCGGCGCCCCTCCGCCGTCGCAGGAAGCGCGGGACGCGGAGACGGCCGCGACCCTGGCGCTCGCCGACGCGCTCGCCGACGAGCCGCCGCGGCCGCCCGCCGACGCGCCCTTCGGCTTCGACGGCTCCGCGGCGAACGAGACGGGCGTGAGCCTCTGCCTCGGCGACGCCGCGGTCGGCGCGCCGCCCGGCGGCGCCATGAGCGGCGAGTGGAACGAGTTCGTGCTCTACACCTTCTACCTGGGCTTCGGCCACCACTCGTGGCGCGTGCGCCTGCGCTTCTCCGACGCCGCGCGCGTCTTCCCGGCGGCCGCGCGCGCGGCGAAGGCGTCCGGCGCGCCGCTGCCCGAGCCGCCGCGGAAGACGTGGACGCTCCACGAGAAGGACGCGTCGGTCATCGACGAGCGGAGCCGCGCGCTCGCGGCCTACCTCGAGCGCGTCGTCGCGCGCGCGGACACGTGGGCGCTGCCGGACGTCAAGGAGCTCTTCGAGGTGTCGCCGTCGACGTTCGACGACGCGCTGGGCCCGAGCGGCAAGGAGGGCTACTGCGTCGTCGCGACGAACGCCGGCGGCGTCAACGTCTTCGGGCCGTCGGGCAGCCGGCGCTGGGTGGTTTTGAAGCCGCGCTACGTCGCGTTCTACGACGCGAGCGGCTCGGACCCGCGCGCGGGCCGCGGCGGCGCGCGCGGTGTCCTCGTCATCGACGCGACCTTTTCGTTTCGACGGCACGCCAAGGACGCGCGGGAGGTCGTCCTCGACGGCAACGGCTTCGCGGGCGCCGTCTGCCTCCGGTTCCCGGGCCGCGACGGCGAACGGCGCGCGGCCGAGTGGGCCGAGGCGCTCGAGGCGACGGTGAAGCGGAGCCGCGAGGGCGTCGCGTGCCGCCACGGGTCCTTCGCGCCGCGCCGCGAGCGGTCCGCGCGCGCCGCGTTCTACGTCGGCGGCCGCGAGTACTTCGGCGCGCTGCTCGCGGCGATCCGGGGCGCGAGGCGGTCGATTTTTTTGGCGGACTGGCGCATCTACCCGCCCCTCCTGCTGAAGCGGGCGCCGGACGGCGCGCCCGCGTCCCTGGAGGCCGCGCTGGCGGCCCGCGTCGCCGAGGGCGTCGACGTCTACGTGTTGCTGTACCGCGAGTTCTCCGAGTCGCTCCAGGCGAAGCACCGGAGCGGCGACCACGCGCGGTCCCTGCGGGCGCTGTCGCGGGACGGCCGGGGCCGCGTCTACGTGCTGCGCCACCCGCGCCACCTCTCGGCGGGCCAGGTCTTCTGGAGCCACCACGAGAAGGTCTGCGTCGTCGACCAGCGCGTCGCGTTCGTCGGGGGCATGGACCTGTGCGAGGGCCGCTACGACGACCTGGCCCACGGCCTGCGCGACGACTGCGAGCCCCACCGCTGGCCCGGGGCCGAGTACTACCAGCCGAACGCGCCGCGGAATTGCGACGACGGCGACGACCGGCCGCGCGCCGCGGACGTCGACCGGCGGCGGACGCCGCGGCTGCCCTGGCAGGACGTCGCCGCGGGCGTCGACGGCGGCGCCGCGCTCGACGTGGCGCTCCACTTCTGCGCGCGCTGGAACCACCACCGCGTCGCGCTCCGGCGGCCGGAGCTGCCGCTGTTGCTACCGCACAGCGACGGGCCGCGGCCGGGCTTGAAGGCGCGGAGCGGCACGTCCTACGACGGCGACTCGATCTTCGAGGGCCCCGCCTGCGCCTTCATCGACGGCACGTGCCCCCTGCCCCGCGACGCGCCCGTGGCCGCGGCCGTCCAGGTCGTGAGGAGCGTCGGCCGCTGGTCGCTCGGCGCGGAGCGGCGGGAGACGTCCGCGCACGCGGCCTGGTGCGACGCCATCGCCAACGCGGAGCGGTTTTTGTACGTGGAGCAGCAGTTCTGGATCACGTCCCTCGACGAGGACGCCGCGCGCTGGGAGCAGTCCGCGGCGCCCGTCGACGGCGACGCGGCCGGCGACGGCGAAGGAGATTTAGTGCCCATCGTCGTGCCCCCGGGCTTCGGGCCGGGCGACGCCTTCGCCGTGCCCCTCGACGGCGACCGCGTCGTGTCCGTCGTCGTGCCGCCCGGCTGCGGGCCCGGGTCCGCGCTCCAGCTCCGGACGGCGCCGGTCGAGCCCGCGAACGCCCCGGGGACCCCGTCGCGGGGCCTGCTCGCGCGCGGCGCGGGCTTCGTGGGCGACGTCGCGCGGGCCGCGGGCGCGGCCTACGGGGACGCGACGACGGCCTTCACGTCGGGCGTGCGGAACCGCGTCGGCCACGCGCTCCTCGAGCGGCTGCGGCGCGCGATCGGGAAAGGCGAGACGTTCCGCGCGCTGCTCGTGCTGCCGCTCCACCCGAACGGGCGGTTCCTGGACAGCGAGGAGGTGCACGGCGTCATGCAGCAGCAGTTCTGCTCCATCTGCCGGGGCCCGGGGAGCCTGCTGGGCAAGCTCGCGGCCGAGTTCCCCGCCGTCGACCTCGACCGCTACGTGAAATTCTGCTGCCTCCGGACGTTCCAGGACCTGGACGCGGGGCCGGCGAGCGAGATGGTCTACGTGCACAGCAAGCTGCTCGTCGCCGACGACGCCGTGGCCATCGTCGGGAGCGCGAACGTGAACGACCGGAGCTTGCTGGGGGACCGCGACACGGAGGTCTGTTTGGTCGTCGAGGACCGGGCCGCGGTCCGGGACCTGCGGCTCAAGCTGCTCCGGGCCCACCTGGGCATGGAGCCCCTGCCGGGCCACGGGACGCCGCACGTGGACCACTTCGACCGGCCGCACCACCGCAAATGGGACGACGACCTCGACGACCTCGACTCGCCGCGCGTCTGGCAGACGATCCTGGACGTCGTCGCGCTGAACACGCAGCTCCTCGAGGCGGCCTTCGACGACGTGCCCTGGGACGACGTCGCGACGCTCGCGGACGCCAAGGCCGCGCTGGGGCTGTCGGCCGTGAGCCGCCACGTGCGGTCACCGCCGGGCACGGACGGCTGGCGGAACGAGGTCCGCGCGGTCCACAACACGCTCAGCGGCGTCAAGGGCGAGCTCTGCGCGTTCCCGACGGACTTCCTCCGCGGCGAGACCCTCGCGCCGTCGCTCCTCGCGAAGCTATTCGTCGGGCGGCGGCTCTTCCAGTAGTAACACTTTGAAGCGCCGTTTTGCTCGAGATCGCGGGGCGCGTCGCGGGGCTCCGAGTCCGAGGCGTCCTCCGAGAGTCGCAAAAACGCGGGCTTATGCGAAATCGCGGGGCAGTCCTCCGAGAGTCACAAAAACGCGGGCTTAGTCGAAATCGCGGGGCTCCTCGTCGACGAGGACGTACTCCTCGTCCTCGTCGTCGTCGTCGTCGTCGTCGTCGTCGTCCGCGGCCGGCGGCGGCGCGGGCACGCCCGCGGCGTCGCGGTCGCGCTCCCAGGCGCGGATCTGCTCCTCGACGCTGGGCTTGGGCGCGGAGAGGACCGCGTTGTCGTAGTCGAAGCCCTCGTCGAGGCGGAAGGGCTCGACGGGGTCCGAGGTCACGTCGCCGGCGCGCGGCGGCGGCGGCGGCAGGAACTCCGGGAGCGCCGCGGCGAGCGCCGCGGCCGGGCGCGTCGGCCCCGGCGGCGGCGGCGGCGGCGGCGCGGAGCCGGGCGACGGCCGGCGCGCGCGCGCGCGGCCGAGGAGGCGCCGCGGCGTCGACGCCGGCGGCGCCTTGGGCTCGGCCGCGGCGCCGGGCGCGTCGGGCTCGTCGTCGGACGACTCCGGGAGGACGGGCGGCGCGTCGTCGCCGTCGTCGTCGCCGTCGTCGCCGGCCGTGAAGTTGTCCGTGAGCATGGCGGGCGCGGCCGCGTCGCCCGGGAGCGAGAGGCGGCCGCCGCTCGTCGCGCGCTCCGACGCGTCCTCGACGGCCTCGTCGGGCGCGGCGACGGTCCCGACGGACGCGCGGTAGATGCGCTCCGCCGCGGCGTCGACCTCGCGCCGCGCGGCGTCGACGGCGAGCGCGTCGGCCGCGAGCGCCGCGGCGGCGTCCGCGGCGTCCGCGGCGTCCGGCGGGGGCTTCCGCGGCGGCGCGCGCAGCGTCTTGAACTGGCTCCGGAAGGCCGACTCCGACTCCGTGCCCGCCGCGAGCGTCGCGTCGAGGGCCGCGTAGCTCGCCGCCTCGAGCCGCGCGATCTCCTCGTCGGTCGGGCGCCGCCGGACGAACGGCATCGCGCGCCTAGGAGGGGCGGCGTCGTCGGCGCGCGCGTCCGCGTGGCGCGCGCGCGGCATGCGCGCGCGGCCCCCTCAGGTCTCATAATGCTAGGTTCATCGGCGGACGAAGCCCGCGGTCCGCCGCCGAGCGCGCGGGAGGAGGGATGGGGAGTTGGGGGAGCGCGCCGGCGGCGGGCGCGGCCTTCGCCGGCCAGTCCGCTGAAAGATCTTCATCACCGGGGACGGTTGTGCGATGTGTTTCGCGGACGCTGGAGCGCGTGCGTTCGTGTGCGGTGCGCGTTTGAGCGCCGGCAGTGGCGGCCCTGGGCGGGAGAGCGAGAGGCTGTGGCAGCTCTTTGCCTGCACTTGCAGGTAAAGTTCAGTTGTAAAGCGTGGAACATCTGAGGTGGACAATGGATTCGGATGATCCCGACGCTGCCCCGCGCGACGGCTCGCCGCGGGACGGCCAGTCGCAGCGCGTCGTCAAGCTCAGCGTCGGCGGGGCCCGGTTCCAGACGACGTTGGGCACGCTGCGGCGCTTCCCCGGGACCTTCCTCGAGGCCATGTTCAGCGGGCGGTTCCCGCGCGTGACCGACGACGAGGGCTGGCACTTCATCGACCGCGACGGCACCCACTTCCGCCACATCTTGAATTTCCTGCGGGAGCCGTCCCACTTCGAGTGCGAGGCGTCGCCGGGCGAGCTGCGGGAGCTGCGGCGCGAGTGCCGCTACTACGGGCTGGACGAGCTCATGTTCCCCGCGCCGGCGGCGCCCGTGGTCTTCTCCTTCCGGGCGACGCTCTTCAAGAGCGGCGCGGGCGACACGTACCTCGGTCCGGCGGAGAAGCGCGAGTGCGTCGAGGTCTTCATCGAGCTGCGGAGCGCGGACCGGCGCTGGTACATGGGCGAGGCCGGCGAGGGCGGCGCCGGCGGGCCCGCGGTCTACTGCGAGCAGTGCCGCTACTGGCTCGACGCCCGGCTCCGCTTCGGCTTCAGCTCGCGGACGCAGCGCTTGTTCAACGCGATGGCGCCGACGGCGCTCGCGCTCGACGCGTGGAGCGACTGGATCGAGCGGCGCCTCGGGAGGGGCGACGTGCCGCCGCACGCCTTCGACCTGCGGCCCTGCCCCAAGTGCCGCTCCGTGCTCGCGCTCTTCCCCCAGGACGAGTGCGACATGCCGCTCCGCGCGGCGCGCGGCGTCGACGCGTCGCTCTGGCCCATCTGCGCGACGAGCGACATCGTCGCCGAGGGGCCCCGGGGCGGCCGCCGCGCGGCCTGGGCCGCGGCCGTGGACCCGTCCAACGAGCGCGACGTGAATTTGGACGTCCGCGTCGTCGAGCGCGACGTCGCGCTCGAGGTCGTCGACCCCGGCGGCGCGCCGGCGCGGCCGCCCCTCCCGCGCCCCCAGTCCGACGAGAACTTCGACGAGACGGGCTCCGTCGGCGAGGCCTGGGCCGCCGCGGTCCGCGACGGCGCGACGTCGCCCGCGGTCGGCGCGCTCCGCGGCTAGGCGCGCTTTTTTGCATCGTGGGATATCGCGGCAGGAACGAGACGCCCCGCGGGCGCCCCTCCACCCGGGCCGGCGGGACACGCGACACGCCGCGTCGCTTAGTCGTCGGGGATCTCGGGCCAGTTGCCACCGCGCTCGTCGGCGCGTCGCCAGCACGGCGGCCCGCGCTCGCGCCAGAACCGCGCGTCCGACGTCCAGCCGCCCGCCGCGCGGCCGAGGCCCGGCAGGCCCGGGAGCTCGCGCGCGGACACGACGCAGCCGACGGCGTGCGTCGCGAGGAAGCTCCGGCGGAACGTCTCGCCGCAGCCCGCGGGGCACGCGACGTCGTAGTCCTCGAGCCAGGGCGCGGCGCATTTGTGGCGGCCCGCGCGCGTCGTCGCCGCGCCGCACGTCGCGCAGCGGAGCTCCGCGTGGCACGCGCCGTAGTGCGCGTCGAGGTCGCAGCGCCGCACGAAGGTCCGGCGGCCGTACTCGCGGTTCGGCCAGTAGTCGCTCCGCCGCAGGCCGCAGGTCATGCAGGCCACCGCGTAGGCCGTCCAGGGCGCGCCGCCGCAGGCCTACCGCATGCGTCGGCCACGATGTTTCATCGGTTTCCCGCCCGAAATCGCTCGAAACTCGTCGCGGGACGCCGCCGCGCGCGAACGCGAGGATGACGTCGGCGACGTCGTCGTTGCGCGCGATGCGGCCGACGAGGAGCCGCAGCGTGGCGCCGAGCTGGGGCGCGTTCTGGAGCGCGTCGCGCTGGCGCCGCGACCGTGCCACGCAGACCGAGGCGTGGTCCGTCGCGCAGGGCGTGATGGCGAGGCCGCAGCGCGCGCAGGGGCTGCTGGGGCAGCGCCGGCAGGCGTAGGGGGACGGCGGGCAGGGGGGGCGCGTCCCGAGCGGCGGGATCGACCCGCCCTTCCTGACATCCCAGCGCAACGCGATCGGGCAGCACGGCTCGAGGAGGGGGGCTGCCATGCCGATTTTGTTGGGGGGGGCAACCTGGGGGATACATAGGCTAGTAGCCTAGTTAGGATCCGCTGGGCGGCCACATCGAGCAGACGCGTCGAAGGTCAGCTCACGTGGCTCCAGCAGCGACAGCCTTCACGCAGCCACCGGACGCGATCTGCGCGCCCTCTCACGCCCCCGACACCCGCACGAGCCCCCTCGCTCGTCCCCGCAGCTCCCCGAAGCGCGGCGCCGGAAGAGACCCCGTCTTCACTCGTCCCACGTCATCATGGGCAAGGGCGGCGAGGCGCCCCCGAGCTTCATCGTCTCCGACGAGAACAAGGAGCTCCTGAGCGGCAAGTCCTACGCGGCGACGAAGCTCGCGCCCGAGGACGCGTGGATGGCGACGCTCGACCACGAGAAGTTCCGCGAGGACGTGCACGCGATCGGCAAGGCGCTCGGCGCGGAGCAGGGCCCCAAGGACGTCGCGCACCTCACGAAGATCGTCTGGTGGAGCCGCCTCTGCCAGTACGTGGGCTTCGCGACCATGTGGACCTGCGTGAACCCCATCTCCATCTTCCTCCTCTCCGTGGGCACGCTCACGCGGTGGACGATCATCGGCCACCACGTGTGCCACGGCGGCTTCGACAAGTGCGACAAGAGCAAGCGCTACAACCGCTTCACCTTCGGCGTCGGGTCCCTCTGGCGCCGGTCCGTCGACTGGCTCGACTGGATGCTCGTCGAGGCCTGGAACGTCGAGCACAACCAGCTCCACCACTACCACCTCGGCGAGATCGCCGACCCGGATCTGGTCGAGTTCAACATGGACTACCTCCGGACGCTCGACGCCCCCATGGCGCTCAAGTACGCCGCCGTGGCCTTCATGTCCGTGACCTGGAAGTGGTGGTACTACGCGCCCAACACCTTCAAGCAGCTCAAGGCGAACGAGCGCCGCCGCGCGGGGCTCCCGCCGCTCGAGGGCGTCGAGGCGCCGCAGACCTTCGACTTTGGGTGGCTCGTGGGCAAGGGCGACAACACCTACGTCAACGGCTTCGAGTTCCTGTCCCGCGTCCTCGGGCCCTACTTTGTGCAGCGCTTCGTGCTCATGCCGCTGCCCGTGCTGTTGGCGCTCGGCTTCCCCGCGTACCGGACGGCGTGCGCGAACCTCTTCCTCGCGGAGCTCATGACGAACTTCCACTCCTTCGTCGTCATCGCCACGAACCACGCGGGCTTCGACCTCTACCGCTTCGACAAGCACTGCAAGCCCCGGTCCTCGACGTTCTACCTCCGCCAGGTCATCTCGTCCGCCAACTTCGACTGCGGCACGGATTTGATCGACTTCATGCACGGCTTCCTCAACTACCAGGTCGAGCACCACCTCTGGCCCGACCTCTCCATGAAGTCCTACCAGAAGGCCCAGCCCATGATCCAGGCCCTCTGCAAGAAGCACAACGTCCCCTACATCAAGGAGAACGTCTTCAAGCGCCTCTGGCTCCTCACGAAGGTCATGGTCGGCACGGACTCCATGCGCAAGTACCCCAACAAGTACGAGTACGCGCCGGACATCGTCGCCGACGAGCCCGCGGCGGCCCACTAAACGGGCCCCGGCGCGACACGGCGGCGGCCCGCGCCGCGCGGACCCCCCCCGCCTGCTAATCGACCTGCACCTACGACCGCGCGCCGCCGGGGGCGACGCCGGCTCCCGCGGCGCACGCGAGCTCGACGGCGACGCCGCGACGGTGCGGAGGTCCACGTTGCAGCATACCGACCTCGCGCGCCGCCTTACCACATGCCCAGCCGGCGGGCTACGGAGACATTACTGGGCGGCGCGTCGGGTCGGGGGGCCTTGGGACTTGGGCTACGGAGACATTACTGGGCGGCGCGTCGGGTCGGGGGGCCTTGGGACTTGTCCGGGCCGCGGCCGGTCGCGCGTGGTCGGCGGCCGGCGGGTCGCCGCGTAGTCTCCTACGGGCGTTCCGCCGGCCGCGTCATGGGGCGCGGGTCCGGGCCTGCGGCGCGGCGTCCCCCCGGCGGTGGAGGCGCGCGGCGCCGCCTCGGCCTAGAGGAGCGTGAGGATCTTCTCGACCATCGTCTCCGCCGCGACGGGGCTCGCCGCGTCGTTGTCGCCCGCGGGGTCGTCGGGCGCCTCGCTGAGCTGGACGAACTTGACGACGCCGTCCTCGACGAGGAGCACGAAGCGCTTGGAGCGCGCGGGCCCGAGGTCGCCGCTGGGGCCCGGGTGCGAGATGGCCATGCCGAGCGCCTTCGTGAGCACCGAGAGGTTGTCGGCCCAGAACGTGATGAGGCCGTCGCCCGTGATGCTCTGGTCCTTGGCCCACGCCTTCATGACCTGCGCGCGCGGGGCGGCGTCTCCGCGGCGCGGCGGCGTCGGGACGCGGGCCGCCGCGCCGCCGCGTCGTTGACGCAGAAGACGTACATCTTCTCGATCCCCTTGGCCTTGAGCTGCTCCTCGGCAGCCAAGTACCCGGGGACCTGGTGCCCGGATCAGCAGGGCGTGAAGGCGCCGGGCAGGCCCATGATGAGGACCTTCTTGCCCTTGATCTCGTCGGCGACGTTGACCAGCTTCGGCGGGAACTGCATGCCGTCGCAGAGGACGACGCTGGGGATCGTGTCGCCGGCCTTGACGGACATCTTCTGGCCCATTACGCAGGCACCTAGGGCACGGCGTCGACGCGGCGGCGCGGGCGGCGCCGGACGCGGGGCGGGGACGGGCGACTTCGGGAGGAGCTGACGCGACCGGGCTTCACAGGGGCTGCCCCCGAAACAGCAGCAGCTTCAGCGTTAGCCCCAGGCCGGCGTCGCGTCGCAGCCGAGGTGCATGGTGATCTGCTCGACGACGGCGCCGACGTCGGCGTGCGTGTCCGCGAGCCACCAGTTGCGGTACCACTCGTCGCGGAGGTACGCGTCGGGCTGCTCGCGGAGCGCCTTGAGCCGGAGCCCCGCGTCCACGCACCGCGCCTCGCACCGCGCGATGACGTCCTCGCCCTGGTACTTGCGGAACTCGGGCGGCCCGGAGCACTGGCTCTTGCACTTGCGCGCGTTGCCGACGACGGCCTGGGGCGGGACGCCCGCCTGGTCGTCGACGCGGTGCGTCGTCCGCGAGAAGCCGTGGTCGAAGATCTCCGCGAGCTCCTCAAACGTCGACGCGTGGTCGTAGTAGAGCCTGGGCCGAACGCACATCTCCAACCCGACGTCCATGTATTCGACGGTCTCGACGCACCTCGTTCTGATCGCCGTGGAGAGAGCCATCGATTCGTCCAAAAATCGGAATAATCGACGTCGACGCGACCGAGCGCGAGAGGTTTCGAGTTCGGTCGGGACCCCCGGAGATGATTTCGGCGCGGAGTCGAGCCGCGCCGGGTCCGGCGCCTCGACCTCGATGCAGATGGCCCCGGGCTTGAGGAACATGGCCGCGATGACCTGCGAGCTCATGCGGCTCACGAGCACGTCCGCGGACATCATGAGCCGGATCTGGTCGCCGAGCGGCATGCGGCCCGGGTCGACGTTGCGCACGCGGCCGAAGGCGCCGAGCGCTTTCGCCAGGGCGTCGTTGTTGAGGATGCGCCGCCCGCGGCCGTTGGCGAACATGACGCGCGACGACGCCGGGTCGTGCGTGCGCCGCGTGAGGACGACGTTGAGCTTTTTCGCCGGGCAGCGGCCCCGGAGCGGCCGCGTCGCCTGGCGGTGGTCGCAGCCGGCGCAGAACTTGCGCGCGAACATGTCGCGGTAGTCGCGCCAGAACACCTTCTTCAGCCGCGACGGCGACGACCGGCGGAAGATGAGCTCCGCGCCGTGCGTCGTCGCCGCGCCCAGCCTGCGCGGCGCTCGCGGCTTCCGCCCGGCGTCGACGCGCGCGCGCGCGACGGTGTCGACGCGCCCGCGTCGGCCGGAGCGCTCGAGGGGCGCCGTCGATGCGTCCGAACATCGCCCGCGTCGACGTCGACGCGGCCGAGCCGGCGAGTGCCGACGCGCGGCCCCGGCGCGCCCGGCTCGAGTCCCGCGCGGCGCCGCGCAGCGACAGGCCGTAGCACTGCGTGACGTTGTAGCCGACGGGCTGCTCGGCGCGCGAGTACTGCATGGTCTCGACGAGCTGCTCGCCGAGCTTCGACCGCACGGCGTCGTCGACGACGTGCCGGAGCTTGCCCCAGTCCATCCAGTGCGTCAGGTTCAGCTCCCATATCGTGTTGAAGACGTAGAGGTAGTTGTTGAGCATGTCGTGGCCGAAGTGGCCCGGCAGGATGCGCGACGCGTGGACCTGGGGTGCGCGGGGGTCATAGCGCGCGCGGGGTTAATTCGCGCCGGCGTAAAAACCGTCGGCTCGACGTACCACAGCACGCCGGGCGCCGTCGGCGGCGGCGGCAGGCCCCGGACGCTCCGGATCTCGTAGGGGAACTTGCCCCAGTTGTTGCAGGCCAGGGGGCTCGGGTAGGCCGGCGGGTCCCGGTCGCCGCTGTAGAGCGTGAGCACGTTCCGCAGCAGGCACGCGTTCGTGACGGCGCAGTTGCGGAACTCGTTCCACCAGCCCCAGAACGGCGGCCCCGCGTGGCACTGTTCCGGCGCCATCTCGTCGACCTGCGCGGCGGGCCGTGGGCGCGTCTCGGGCCGCGCGACTATGCGGACGCCGCAGAGCCGCGCCCGCTCGCCCCAGCGGAAGCACTCGACGCGCGAGCCGCCCTCGCGGTAGGCGAGCTTCTCGTAGCGGCAGTCGGCGATGCGCACGGCCGGCACCACGGGCGCCTCGGCCGCCTTCTTCTTGCTCCAGAAGCTCGCGGCGCAGAGCGGCGCGACCAGGACGAGAGCGGCGACGGCATGTCGAGGCAGCGTCCCCATCGCAGAGGGCTGCCTCGAAGCGAGTTGAACGGAGAGTTGCAGCGCTCGCCAGTGGAGCACTCGAGCTCCAATTGGCAAGGACTCGTCGCAAGCGGTCGCGCCGCCATGCGCGGCCGGCTCGAGCGCTACGTCGCGTGTTTCGTCGGCTACGGCTAAGATCCTAGGATTTAGGCGGGCGCGCCGCGCGAGGGCCGCGGCGACCGCGGCGACCGCGGCCCTCGCGGGCGACACGCCGGCGGAATCAAACGAGCGCGCCGCTGCCGAGGAGCGCCTCGACGCCGGCGTCGACGGCCGTCGCGTCGAGCGGCTCCACGGGAAGTCCGCGGTATACGCCCCGCAGCGACAGCTCGCGCGCGAACAAGACCATGCTGCTGCACCGATGTAGAGTCGCATTCGGCCCGCTCCCCGTCACAGGTTTGATCCAAAGGCGACGATGGCCTCCTTTCTTCTTCTTTTTCGGATGGCCTTTTTTCTTTTTTTTTGTTGGCCAGGGGTCGCCGCACTTCTCGGGCCCGAGGAGCAGGCCCGCGGCCGCCATGCAGTGGAGCGCGACGAGCGGGTTGCCCGCGCCGTGGAAACTCACGTCGAAGCCGTTTTCGAGGCCGGCCGTGCGGCCGTCGACGAGGTGCGACGCGCCGTCGCGCCGCGCGCCGCCGACGCGTATCCCGACGTCCAACCCCTCGAGGGTCGCGGCGACGGTCTCCGGCGGCGAGTCGCTCAGGATGAGCGCGTGGACGCGGCGCCCCGGGAGTCGCGCTCGCAACTCCGCGACGACGCGGAGCGCGTTCCGCAATTGCCCGCCCTGGCTCCTCATCGAGATCGAGGTGAGGGCCGTCGCGGAGGCGTTCGCGGCCAGGTCGGGGAGGAGCAGGTCGCCGAGGCGCACGTGGACGACGACGCGGAGCTCGCCGTCGGCCGCGCCGCAGTCGACCAAGGCGTCGCGGTCGACGGCCGCGTAGGTCTCGGCGACCACGCGCCTCCCCCACCCGGGGTCGTCCGCCGGCGGGAGCGCGTCGAAGCCGAACCACTCGTCGAACGGCGGCGCGACGAAGCACTCGAAGTGGTCCCGGAACACCGCGTTGCCCGTGGGCCAGCGGCACAGTTTACACTGTGACTTCTCCCTGCACGCGTTCGTCTTTTCCTGCCAAGAGCACGTCGATTTTGCCGTGCAATCTTGCTTGCCGTGTATTCGTTTGCAGTTTGAAGTAACCGTACGATCCGCGCCGAGCCAATCTCGTTCGTGGCAGTAGAGCGACGGCGCGAAGCCGTCGTAGAGGCCGTCGACGTCGCGCAGGTAGGCGCCCATGGGGCTCACGTACTCCTGGAAGTAGCGCGCGCCCGGCGGCCCGCGGCGGTCGGCGATCATCTTGACGACGCAGCGTCCGATGTGGCCGAGGCCGTCGGGTGCGCAAGCCAGTCGTCGTTGGCCCGCCGGCGCACTTCGAAGACGGTCCGCGACCTCGAGGACGACGAGTTCACGCAGATCTGCCCCTTCGGCATCGTCGTCGCGGGGACGACGTCCTTCGATCATTCGCTCCTCGGGTAGGCGGCGCGCGAGGATGCGCCCCCCCCTTGCCTTTGTGTTGCTGTGGCCATGAAATTTTCGTAATGACATCATGCTGCAGTCGCTCGGAAAGTAGGGGTTTAATTCCCGCACGTATATCGATCCGCGCTCGCAGACGTGCTTCGACACGAGGGCAAAGTCGGGCGAGATCGCCGGCGCCGCCAGCGCGAGGCGCCACCATGACGTGTTCGACATGTCTAGCGTGTTCGACGTGCCCAGCGTGACGCGCCCCGCCGCGGCCGCCGTGGCGAAGGCGATCGCGCGGATGAGGTGCATGGTTGAATCTGCGGGGGAATTGACGCGATCGCTGCACGGACGCGCCGCGACGAACAGACCATCGAAACGAATCGACCTCGGTTCGCTGATTTTAGGTGCTCGACGGGCCTCTTTTCCGACGGGTCGGCGTGGCGCGGGGAGTTGGCAGGGGTCTGGAGAACGGGAAGGCCCTTTTCAGCGCGGGACATCGCGTAAGCGCTGGGTCGCGATGCGTCTCTAAACGTAGGGGGGGCGGGAGGCGGTGTCCAGGCCCATCCAGGCGCGCCGCAAATCTCCACTACGACTCCATCGTCAGCGATCATTGGTTCGACTGCGGACGCCTCTGCCGGCTCCAGGATCGCCGGAGGTGGGAACGCCTGTGGGCTGGAGGTCTCCCTACGCCCCTCCTCGCCGCTCTTCCTCCCGTCGGTTCCTCCCTGCGCCGCGGCAATAAGGCAATGGAGGCCCTTCGAGGCCCTTCGACGGCCGTCGGCCGCGGCCTCGTTCCCGAGCCCGTTGTTAGTCCATCACGACGTCCCACTGCCAGGGCGCCGGGTCCCCCTCGACCGTCTCCGGGACCCAGCCCGGGCACGCGCCCCGCGCGAGCTTCGCGAGCGGCCGCCGGAGCTTGGCTGCCATGGGCCGCGACCTGAGCACGTCGAGCGCGGCTGCCGCGCGCGCGTCGCGCGCGGCGTCGTCGTCGAGGTACGCCCGGATGGCGCGCGCGAGGCCCGACACGCCGCCGGCGGCGAAGTGGACCGCGCCGGCCCACGCGGCCTGCTCCGCGGGCGCGCCACCGGGCTCCGCGACGACGACGGCGCCGGCGGCGACGGCCGGGAGGAAGCGCGTCATCTTCCACTCGCGGTCGTCGTCGAAGAAGCGCAGGCTCAGCACGACCTTGGCGCCTTGGAGCGCCGCTTTCAGCGGTTCGCCGAAGAGCGGGCCGTCCGCGTTCCCGTGGAGGACTCTGAGCCCGTGGTCGTAGCGGAGCGCGCGCAGAATGTTCCGCCGCCGGCCGTTGAGCTTGCCGACGAAGAGCACGTCGACGGGCCGCGGCCCGGCGAGGGCGCCAGCGCCGTCGCCGAGGCCCGGCGCGGCGCCGAGCGGCACGTGCGCGGCCCGGAGCCCGCGCGCCTCCGCGAGCGCGACGACGTTCGCCTGCGCGGGACGCGGGGCGATCCGACGTCGCGTCGACGCGAGCGCGCCGCGCGCGCGCGTTCCGGGGAACACAAGCATCCACGCGTCCTCCGAGGGATGCGCGCTCGTCCAAAACTCGGGCGACGCGAGGGAGGCGCGTTTGGGCGCGTCGCGCGCGTTCGCCGCTCCGACGGTCGCCGCGGAGTAGTCCCAGAGGTGCCCCGCGTCGGCCCAGGCCGGGAGAAGATCCAAGAGTTTGGAATCCGCCGCGAGGTCCTCGGCCCGGCCCACCTGCTCGAAGTTGTAGAGCGCGGACGCGTTCGGGTTCGGCCATCCGCGCGCGGCCGCGAAGCCGACCTCCGACCCGTCGTCGGCCTCGAAGGCGTAGCGCGCGAGGTGGTGGACGCCGAGCACGATCAGGAGGGGCCGCGGCTCGTCGAGGACGCAGAAGCGCGCGTCGGGGCACCAGGCCGCGGCCGCGTCGCCGCCGAGGGCGCGCGCCGCGGCCGCGACGGCCGCGGCCGCGTCCGCGAAGACGCCCTCCGTCGCGCCGTCGAGCTCGCCCTCGCCGATGACGACGACGAGGAAGCGCGGCCGGCCGCCGGCGCCGCAGGTCGGCGCGCCCGGCGACGGGTCCAGCTGGACGCCGGCCGCCGCGGCCTCGGCGCCGCCGACGACGCTCTCGAAGCGACCCCGGGGCCCGTTGGGCCGCCACGTCCGCGCCGCGTCGCCGCCGACGTCGACGGCGGCCGCCGCCGCGGCGCCGTCGCTCCGGTCGTGGGCCGCCGGCGGCGCGCCGAGGTCGAGGGCCGCGCGCCGCGGCGGCGACGCGTGGCAGAAGAGCGCGTCGTCCCCGGTGGGCGCCGCGCAGTCGCGGGACCGCCGCCGCGCGTCGAGCGACAGGCGGCGCAGCGCCGGGGGCAGGGCCCAGAGGGGCTGGCGCTTCGTGCGCTTGAAGGCCGCCGGGTGCGTCGGGTGCAGGTCCTCCGCTCGTTTCGGCTGATTTTTGGACGAGCGATCATCTCTCGGAGCGCTCTCGAAGCGCGGGTGCTGTGTCCGAAACGCGCGCGCGCGGAACACTCACGTCGAAGCGACGTTGCATCACCCTTGTCCTGCCCCGCGTCGTACGCGCGCCACACGTCGTCGACCCAGCCGTCGACGACGTCGCGCGCGTGGGCGAAGGACGCGACCTTGGCCTCGAGCTCGGAAGACGTGCGCACGTAGGAGAGGTGGTGGCACCGCGCCGTCGCCGCGTCCACGAAGACGCCGAGCGCGTCGATCTTCTCCGCGAGCGCGTCCGCGGCGAGCGTCCCGTCGGCGCAGGCCCAGTTCCGCGCCTCGGAGAAGGCGCAGGCCGTCGGCGAGTCGCGGGCCGTCTCCACGAGCCAGAGGATCTGGAGCGGCTCCGGCGGGTCCACGACCGTCGCCGCGCTCTTGAAGTACGTCGCCATGGCCGCGCGCGCCCAGCCCACGCGCCGCCCGCCCCGCTCGGCGTCGGCGACGAGGGCCAGGGCGCGGTCGAGCTCCACGGGGTGCCAGAACTCGTCGCCGTCGACGAGGAGGACGTGGCTCGGCGCGCAGGGCAGCGCCGCGGCGACGCGGAGCGCGGAGTTGCGCTGCGCCTCCTCGGTGGGCCAGTCGCCGACGACGACGGACATCTTCGCGCTCGCCGCCGCGAGGGCCGCGACGGCCGCCGCGGCCCGCCGCCGCGCCGCGGGCCGCGGCGCGCCGAACCACGGCTCGAGCGCGTGGTGGACGACGACCGCGTGGACGCGCGGCTCGAGGTCCGCGAGCAGGGGCGCGAGGAAGCGGTCGTCGTCGTAGAGGCAGAGCGACGCGGCGACGGCGTGGCCGCGTTCGCCGCGCCGGTCGCGCTCGTGGCGGTCGAGGGACAGGCCGCTGAGGTTCCGGCCGAGCCAGGTCCGCGCCGGCCGAGGGACAGGCGCTGAGGTTCCGCCGCCCGCGGGCCGCGACCGCAGGTGGAAGAGGTCCGCGTCGACCTGGCGGAGCCGCTCCCAGTCGTCCGGGAGCCCGACGGCGTCGAGGCGCTCGCCGCCGTCCGGGAGCGGGTCGCACGCGAGCGCGTCCGACCACGCCGGCACCTCGACGGCGTCGCCGCGCGCGCCGAGGTCGTCGAGCCACGCGGCGACGCCGCCCTCGAGGGCGTAGCCTCCGTCCGGGGCGCCGAGCGCTTCCCAGGACGCGGCGTCGGCGACGAGGAGCGGCGTCCGCGAGAGGCAGCCGGCCGGCGCGGCCGCCCAGGCGACGAGGTGGCCGCCGCGGCCGTGGCCGCGCGCGAGCCGCTCGTAGTCGACGAAGACGTCGCCGCGGACGGCGGCGCCCCAGGGCGGCGCGGCGACGATGGCGCGGTCCGGCGCGGCGGTGACGGCGGCGGCGAGGATCGCGGACGGGCCGACCCACTCGGCCGTCGCGACCGCGGCGGCCGCGCGCGCGCCCCGCGCGCGCAGCGCCGCGCCGAGCGCGGCCCGCGAGTCCTCGCCGAGCGCGAAGCCGTCCGTCGCCACGACGACGCCGGCGCCCGGCCGCGACGCCGCCGCGGCGCTCAGCGCCGTCCGCCACACGGCCGCGCGCGCCGCCGCCGCGGTCGCGGGGCCCGCGGCGGACGCCGCGACGGCCCACCAGCGCCGCGCGACCGTGTGGCCGCCCTTCGCCGCGCGCAGGTAGAGCGCCGACGTCACCTGGTCCACGTTGTCCGCGCTGAGCCGCGGCGTGACGGCGCCGAGCAAGGCGGCGACGTCGTCGCCCTCGCGCACGGCGAGCTCGACGGCCTCGCGCGCGCCGTCGATGAGCAGGGGCAGCGTCGCGACGATCGGCGGCGGCGCGCCGTCGACGAAGAGGTCGTGCGTCGTCGCGCGGGCGAGGGCGAACGCGAGCAGCGGGGGCAGCAAGCGGCGCGAGGCCCCCATTGCTTGCTGCGCTGCCCGCAGCGGCTGAAAGTCAAGATGGGCTTCAACAAGTTCTTCCGCTCGCTCATTGGGTCTCGCTTGTTTGCGAGGCGATCCAAGACGCTTGTGTGGCGACGCCCCGGTCAAGGACGCGTGCCGAGTTATGTCGTGGCGGGAGAAGAAGTTGGAGTATGAGAATCGCATGGCCCGAGCGAGGGGCAAAAAACTCGACACTCTCAAGACCTGCACGATCTGCGGCGCCGACAAGGCCAAGGCTTGTCAAGGGTGCGGCACGACGGCCTACTGTTCGACGGCCTGCCAACGCATCGACTGGCGCGACCGGGGCCACCGGAAGGTCTGCAAAAAGATCCAGGCCGCGGAGGCGGCGCGGGCGGAAGCGCCGACGCCCCCGCCGTCGCCGCCGCGGGACGTGTTCTACGGCCCCGCGCCTCGGTCGCACGCCGACGAGGTCCGCGCGCGCATCGCGGCGGAACACGAGGCGGCCCGCGTGCGGCGCGAGGCGAACCCGGAGCCTGAGCCCATCTCGGCGCGGTACGGGTCGCGGTGCCCGATCTGTTTCGGGGACTGGGACGTGAATGCTCAGGGCGTGCTTCGCATCTGTTGCTGCCGGCTGGTCTGCCGATCGTGCGAGGACAAGATCAGCTCCGACGCGTGTCCCCTCTGTCGCCTACCGTGCCCAGAAGACAGTGCGGAACAGCTCGCGCGTCTGCGCCGCCATGTGGAGAACGAGGTGCCGGAAGCGATTTCGTTTTTGGGAAACGCGTACCGCGGCGGTCAGTTGGGCCTCGTGAAATCCGATAAGAAAGCCGCGAAACTTTGGAAGCGCGCCGTGGAGCTCGGAGATGTGCGGGCGATGAATAACCTTGGCAGATTGTACGAGCATGGAAGTGGCGTCAAGCTGGACAAGAAGAAGGCGGCGCGGCTGTATCGTGCGGCCGCGGACCGAGGCGACGCGGTCGCGCAAAACAATCTAGGGCTTTTTCTTGATTCTGAGGGGAAATTTGAAGAGGCGTTCCGGTACTACGCGCTCGCGGCGGATCAAGGCTATACCAATGCGGAGCACAACCTTGGCTGCTGTTACCTGGACGGAGAAGGCACGGAAGTCGACCTCGGCAAAGCCAGATACTGGTTCGAGCGCGCCGCTGCCAAGGGCTGCGAGGATGCTATAGAGAACCTCGCGCACCTCAACGCGCGAGTATAGCCTAAACCATCTTTACCCCGCGTCGTCGCCCGAGCCCGAGATGCGGCGCTTGCGCGCGCGCGAGTCGTGCGTGGCCTTGGCGTCGTCGTCGTCGCGGCGTTCCTCTCCGCGCCGCCCGTCGCGGTCTGGTGCCTGGCGTTCCTGAACGCCAAACCTGCCTGGCGCAAGGACGACGACACCGCCGAGGCGGGCATGGAGATCGACATGAGCGCCATGCTAGGGATTTAGCCCAGGGGTAAGGTTTTGAGCGATTTTGCCTTTGCGACACGAATTGCTCTCGAGTCGTGCGGTCGCCGTACTCGGACGCTTTCGACGCGCGCGCGTTGATATAATATCGATTGTTGATATGCGGGCCGCCGCCGTCGCGCTCGCGGTCGTCGCCGCCGCGTGCGCGAAGCGGCGCGACGGCCCGGAAACTCCATGCCCCCTGACCTACGTGTACGACCTGCCGGAGTTCTGGGACGAGCCCTTCCCCTTCGCCGCCGTCGCGGACCAGTCCGAGGACGCCATCTTCGGCCCGAAGTGCGCGACGGCGGGCATGCGCGACACGCAGCAGTACGCGATGCCGACGATCGCGCTCTGGCGGCTGCTCCGCGGCGGCCGGTGCCGGTCGACGGCGAACGCGAGCGCGGCGGCCCTCTTCCTCGTGCCCCTGTGGCCCCGGCCGAAGAACCAGCAGGAGTGGGCCGCGGCCTGCGCCGCGGACGCGAACCTGGACCTCGCCGCGCGGCTCCCGCACCTGACCCCCGCGAACGCGCACCGCCACGTCATCCTCATCGGCAAGGGCCAGATCAACCCGGCCGGCAACTGCGACGCCTGGTGGCGGAGCCCGCGGGGGCCCGTGAAGAAGTTCCAGCGCGTCGCGTACAGCGCGAACCACGCGCCGCCGGGCGCGGCGCGCGGGGGGCCGCCGCCGACGCTCCCGGGGTCCGCGGAGCCCTGGGACTACGGCCCCGCGGTCCTCACGGACGCGGCGCTCGCCAAAAGTTACGCGCCGAACCCGCTCGACGACGAGGCGCCCTACCCGCACCTCGTGTCCGCGCCCTACCCGAGCTCCGTCCACGCGCGGGTCGGCGGCGACCGGCCCTGGGCCGCGGGCGTGAACCAGCGGCCGACGCTCGTGTCCTTCGCCGCGGGCCTGAACCACGGCCGCTACGCGAGCCAGCGGCGAAAACTCCGCGACGACTGCGCGCGCGCGGGCGACGACTGCGCCTTCGCGGACATGGACGCCTTCGCCGAAGCGAAGGCGCGCGCGCGGAAGCGGGCCGCGGCCTTGGCCGGCGCGCTCGGCCTCGACGCCGCGCACCACTTCACGGACACGATGCGGCTCGTCGAGGGCACGCAGCGCGACGTCTGCGACTACCTCGCGGAGGAGAAGCAAAGCGCCGTCTTCTGCCTCGAGCCCGGCGGCGACTCGCCCTACCGCAAGTCGATCTACGACTCCGTGCTCTCGGGCTGCATCCCCGTCGTCTTCTCGCAGTACGCGCGCGCCGTCGCGCCCCACCACTGGGGGTCCTTCCGCAACGCGTCGACGGTCTTCGTCGACGAGGCCGCCTACGCGGCCGGCGACCTCGACCTCTTCGCCTTCCTCCGGGGCATCCCCGGCGACGCCGTCGCCGCGATGCAGCGGACCATCGACGCGCACGCGCACCGCCTCATGTACGCGCTCGACGACTACCCCCACGACGCCGTCGAGAACATCCTCGTGGGGGCCGCGCACCTCGCGAGGAGGCGCGAGAAGCGGCGGGCGCCGGGGCGGTGATAAACCCCCTTTTGCATGTACGTGCTCCGTAGTAACCGGCACTGATTCAATAACAAATTTACCTGGGGCTCCCACCCCGCCTCGCCTGGGCCGCGGCCTTGCGCGCGTCCTGGTCCATGTCGCTGCCCCCGGGGTCGCGGCCTATCTGGCCTTGCACTTCTTGGCCTTGCGCTTCCATTTGCACGACGTCCCGTTCGCCTTGCAGGACTTCCGCTTGAGCGACGCGCACTCGTTCCTCGAGCGGCACGCCTCGCGCCTCCACCGACAGGAACTCTTGCGCTTCTTGCACCGCCTTTTGTTGAGCGACGCGCAGTCGGCCTTGGGCTGGCACGCTTTCTTCTTCCACTCGCACCTCGCCGGCGGGCACCGTTGCTTCGCGTCGTGCCGCGCGCAGAGGGACGCCGCGTCGCAGAGAGGGCTGCAGTACGGCACGTCGCAGTACTGCCAGCGGGGGTCCGTGCCCTCGGCGTTGTAGCACCAGGCGCGACCGCTGTCCCCGTCCGGGTTGCGGCAGGAGTTGTGGTCGCCGAGGCCCGCGTCGGGGTAGTTCGCCGGCGTGCGGCCGTGCGCGTTCGGCGCCTGGCTCGTCCACTTCTGGCACCGGAGCCCCGTGGCGGTCTCGGAGATCGCGCCGCGGTAGTCTTCCTGGAAGCGCGCCTCGGCGCAGGGGGCGCCGCAGTCCGGCGCGACCGTCGGGGCGCCCGTCGGCGCCGCGTCGGCCGTGGCCGTCGGGCGCGCCGTCGACGGCGACGCGTCCGGGTCGACGTCGCGGCCGAAGACTTCGATGCGCCACGAGACGAGCTCGCCGTCGTCGTCGCCGTCGTCGTCGGAGCCCAGGAGCGCGTGCCAGCGGGGGACGAAGGCCCACTCGGGGTAGCTCGAGCCGTCCGTCGTGCCGCGGCGCCTGTCCGCGACGCGGAGCGTGAAGGGGCCCGCGTCCAAGGGCTCGCCCCAGTGCCGCAGCGTCAGGAACTTCCAGTCCTCGTAGCGGTTGCCGAAGTTGTACGTGTCGTCGGTGAGGATCGAGGTGACGCCGCCGCGTTCGAGCTCGATCCAGAGCTCGCCGCGGTGCGGATGGTCGATGGTCACGAAGACGTTCACCGACTCGACGGCGACGTTCTTCTCGGAGAACGCGATCTCCGATTCGACCCAGCGCTCCGTCCCGTCGTAGTCGAAGATGGTCTCCGCGGCGACGTTCGTCGCCTCGAGCTTCCGCTCCTCCGGCCAGTTCGTCCACCGCCGGGCCGCCCGCGCCGCGGCGAGCGCGTCGACCAGCCCGAAGCCGTACTTGTAGCTGTGGCTCACGCCCGCGAGGTTCGTCGTCCACGAGTCGTCGCTCCCGAGGTCGACGCGCCGCGACGTCGACGCGAGGACGCCCTGGACGTCGCGCCAGCCGAGCCGCGGGTTCGCCTCGAGCACGAGCGCCGCGACGCCGGCGACGAGCGGCGCCGCGAAGGACGTGCCCGGCGGGATGGAACCGCACGCGCCGGCCGCGACGGCGCCGACCATGCCGTGGACGTGGTCGTCGTCGCCGCCGGGCGCGACGACGAACGTCGCCGCGCCGCCCTCGCTGTAGGACGCCTTGCGCAGGGAGCGGCCGACGGCGCCGACGGTGATCGCGAAGCGGTTGTTGAGGTGCTCGAGCTGCTGGTAGGCGCCCGCGTACCGGTAGCCGTTGCCCGTGGCCCAGACGTAGATCACGCCCCTGCCGCCGCGGCCCTCGCGCGCGCCGGCCTCGAGCGCGTCGAACTCCGGCAGGTCGCCGATCTGGTAGCCGGCGCAGGACGTGTAGAGGTGGTCGAACGCGCGGCACGCGTCCTCGTCGTCGGCGAAGTGGTACTCGCAGTGCTCGGCGATGGCCGTGTGGCACGCCGCGCCGAAGGCTCCGTTCCAGTCCTCGCCCGCGCACGTCGCGCAGACGTCCGCCGCGGAGCGCTCGGACCACGGGCGGCCCGCCGCGAAGGGGCACGCCTCGAGGCGCCGGCCGTAGGTCGGCAGCATCGTCGCGCACTCGTCGTAGCCCCAGGAGTTCGAGCTCACGTCGACGGCGCGGGCGCCGTCGTAGATCGCGTCGGGGATGGACGCGCGGTCGTCCCCGAAGACGCGGCACGACGACAGGCCGGCGCCGGGCGCGACCTGTGTGGAAATCAAACGGTGAGCTGGGTTACCCCAACCAAACTCTAGCTCGGTCAAATCGGAGTCGATTTGGCTTGGACGAGTCGTTTTCTCTCGGCGAGTTCTTGAACTAATTACGCGCACTTTGAAGTCGGGTTGAAGATTTGACTTCCGCGCCGTGGGCGACGCCGACGACGCAGTGCGAGTTCGCGCTCCCGACGGCCAACGACGCGCACGCCGTGCCGTGCCCGATCGAAGAGCCGTCCGGGAGGTACGCGGCGCAGGACCGCGAAGCGTCGAGCTTCGCGAGGTCCGGGTGCGCCGCGTCGACGCCGTCGTCGACGACGTCGACCACGACGCCGGCTCCGGTGACGCCCGCGGCCCAGGCGTCGGGCACGCGCATCGCGTCGAGGTACCAGGCCTGGGCATCCCCATAGGGGTCGGAGTAGGCGCTCGGCGCGCAGGCGTCCGCGTAGTCGTCGAGCTCGCACGCGAAGTTGGCGACGATTTTGGAAAAAGGCGCTCCGAACCACGAGGTCATCGCGGTCCGCGTCGGCGCGGCGTCCGCGTCCGCGCAGAGCCCCTCCTTCGCGCAGAAGACGCAGTCGCGGCCTGGGACGTCGCGACACTGCTCGCAGGTCAGCGCGGCGCCGCACGGGTCGCCGCAGTCGTAGGGGTCGCAGGCGCAGGGGCCCGTGAGGCCGTCGGCCGTGGTCGACGCGTGGCAGATGCCGTCGAGCTGGTAGGGGCAGTCGCAGGGCGTCGTCGTCGCGGCGCGTGCGAGGGGCTGGAGCACGAGCAGCATCGTCGCGAGGCGGGTCGTCATGGTCGCCCACGAGCGCGGCCCGACCAACTCAGAGCTCGATTTCTCCACTCACGTGCCTTTGGATTGGCGATTCTCAAATTCCTTGAGACTTACGCCTATACGCGTCGTCTCGTCGCTCTGGTTTATGCTGCTGTGCGATGGAAGCGGATTTGGGATGCCGCGAAATGACCGGTGGTTCCACCGACCTCGACGGTGGACGGATGCCCTGGGGCAGCGGTGGGCCGACGACGGGCGCCGCGCGGGCCGAGTCTCGTTCGCGCTCGAATCGATTACGCAACACTTGTTCCGGAATTCGATGGGCATTTGGCGGGCAGTACTACGGAGCTCTGGCATTGATCTCCGCCTAGTAGGCCTCCGAGTGCACTTCCTAGTGCCTCCGCGTCGATTCGTTTTCGATGACGGCAAGTTGACGGCACTCAAGCCGCCGGGAAGTCGCGACACACAAAAATCCCACCGGCCTGCGCGTAGGACACGCATCGCCGTCCGGCACCCGCGTCGCTCCACACGCGTGTCTCCATCGCGCGTACTCGACCGCCGTAGAGCATCGATATCGACCGCCGAGCAAACCACACGCGTTTCGCCGTCCGCCCCGTCGCCCACGCCGCCCGAACCACAGGTACCCGCAAGCGCCTCGTCGCGCACCCAGCAAGAGCGTTCGCGCTCAAACAAACAAACAACGCCCCCATAAGAAGCGCTTCGCTCCAACAAACGATCACCGATGCTGCTCGTCATATACTGTGCCGTCGTCGCTCGCGCGGCGGCGTTCGTCCCAGCGTCGGCGCTCGGCTCCGGAGCCCGCGGACCCGCGCGCCCTCCGCAGGTTCGTCGTCTCCCCCGAGGCGCTCCAGAAGTACGGCCAGGAGGCCGACGACGGCCTCCTCACCTCGAAGATCCTCTTCAAGATGAAGCGCCCCGGCTCGGGCCTCCGGGGCGCGGCCAAGACCCTCGACGGCGCCGCGGCGGACGTCGCCCTCGCGATCGACTGCGGCGCGCCGTCGCGCGTCTTCCGCGCCGCGGGCAAGTTCGAGGACGCGCACGTCGCGTCCCGTGTGGAAATCAGCGACCCCCCCCCCCCCGAAACGAATCGCCGAGACCGGACGTCCGCGCAGGTCGCCGCGGGCCTCGACCTCTGGTACGCCGTCGACTGCGGGAGCGAGCCGGCGCCGCGCGGCCTCGCGCGGGCCGCCGCCGCCGGCGAGCGCGTCGATGCCGTCGAGCCCGCGCGCGCGCGCGTCGAGGACTGGATGCCCGACGACCCGCTCTTCTCGAAGTCGACGGCGGACGCGATCAACCTCCGGGGCGCCTGGGACGCGACCGCGGGCTCGCCGGACGTCGTCGTCCAGGTCGTCGACGACGGCGTCGACGTCGACCACCCGGACCTGGAGCGCAACGTCTGGACGAACCCCGGCGAGGTCTGCGGCAACGGCGTCGACGACGACGGCAACGGCTACGTCGACGACTGCCACGGTTACAACCACGCGGACGACAACACGAACCTGCACAACGCCGGCAAGGACCACGGCACGCACTGCGCGGGCACGCTGGCCGCCGAGGGCGGCAATGGCGTCGGCGTCGCGGGCGTCGCCGGCGGCAAGGCGCCGGGCACGGGCGTCAAGCTCATGGTCTCCGTGGGCTTCGGGGCCGCGCGCACGGCCGGCTTCGCCGAGGCGCTCGTCTACGGCGCGGACATGGGCGCCCAGATCAGCTCCAACTCCTGGGGCTACAAGCAGTCCAACTCCTACGAGCAGGCCCTGCTCGACGCCATCGACTACGCGAACGACAAAGGGAGCCTCGTCGTCTTCGCCGCCGGCAACCACGCCGAGACGGAGAAGCGCTACCCGGCGGCCTACGCGGGCGCGGTCGCCGTCGCCGCCACGGACGACGGCGGCGCCATGGCGAGCTTCTCGAACCACGGCGGCTGGGTCGACATCGCCGCGCCGGGCGTCGCCGTCGTGTCGACGATCGGCGGCGGCCGCTACGCGGCGTCGTCCGGCACGTCCATGGCCGCGCCCCACGTCGCCGGCGTGCTCGCGCTCGGCGCGTCCCTCGACACCGCCGCCGGCGGCCGGCCGACGCGCGCCGCGCTCCTCGCCTGCCTCTCGTCGACGGCCCGCGACGTCGACGCGGTCAACGCGAAGCCGGGGAAGCTCGGCGCGGGCCTCGTCGACGCCGAGGCCTTCGTCGCGTGCGCCGCCGGCGACGACGAAGACGCCGCCCGCGACGCCGCGGCGCCGCGGCAGCTCGAGATCGCGGGCGTCAAGCGCATGGCCGCGACGGGCCTCGCGAGCTGGGCGTCCGACGACGACGAGGCCTTCGCCGTCGCGTACAAGACCAAGGCCGACAAGCGCTGGACCGAGACGTCGGACTCCTTCCGCGCCTACGCGCGCGAGTCCGACGGCAAGTACTACCAGGCGCTCCCGGGCGTCGCGTGCGGCGACAAGGTCATGGTCCGCGTCTCCGCCGCGTCCGGCGCGACGGCCAAGACCTCCTGGAAGAAGCTCAAGTGCTAGACGACACCACCACCACCACACCACATGACGACGACCACCACCACCACCACCACCTACGAACTCGCGCCACGCCGCGACCACCACTACCCCACCTACGAACTCGCGCCACGCCGCGACCACCACCACCACCACCTCAAGCTACCACGACCACGACCACGCTCGTACGTAAAAAAACCCTTCCTATAAAAACGAGCCTCACGTCGTCTTCTTGAGGACGACGAGGCCCTCGCCCTCGCAGTGGACGAGCTCGTCGGCGCCGCCCGCCGCGGGCGTGACGAGCCGCGCGGCGATGCGGACCTTGCGGCCCTCGACGGACGTCACGGCGCCGTCGACGCGGAGCCAGGCGCCGACGGGCACGGGCGCCGAGAGCTTCGTGTTCACCTGCACCGTGAACCCGGACCACGCGACGCAGTCGCCCGTCGAGCAGAAGCCCGTCCAGCCGACGACGTCGTCCATGACCGTGCACATGGTGCCGCCGTGGCAGAGGCCCCGGTGGCTCTCGGCGCCGGGCCCGAAGTGGACCGCGCCCGTGAGCGTCGAGCCGACGCCGCCCGGCACGCCCGCGAGGAAGTAGCCGGCGACGTGCACCGCCGCGTCGGGCCCGTGCGCGTAGTCGGAGCCCTTGAAGCCGTTGCGCCGGCGCCAGGCCGGCCCGTTGTCCCACTCCGGGAGCGCGACGCGCGCCAGGCCCGGATCCGACGCGAGCGCCGCGAACCAGGCCGGCGGCGGGCCGCGCCTGCGGCGCCGCCGCCGCAGCAGCTCCAGCAGGGCGCACGCGGCCGCTGCGGCGGCGGCGCCGGCGACGAGGCCGTGCGACGGCATCGCTCTCGTCGGTTCCGGCGCGGTGAGGTCGGTCCGGTGCGGCGTCACCGGTCCACGACGGCCAGACGAGGTCCACGACGGCCGACGAGAGGGCTGGATGGCAGGCACAGCTCGCTTATTTTTCTGCTGCAACTCGAGTGCACCTTGACGAGGGGCTGCCTCGATCCATGACGATGATCACCCTCTGATCACCCTCTGATCACCCTCTGATCGCGGCGTCGCTGCATGCGGCGGCGCCTCGCCGCAATGCCGCGCGTCGCCGCGCTCATCGCCGCGTTTGCGCTCCTGCGCGGCTGGCGCGACGGCGGCCTCGGGCGGGCGCTCGAGGACGTGCGCCGCAGCTACCCGCCGCCGCCCGCATCCAACAACGTGTCCTTCCTCGACGTCGACGCGGCCCCGGCGCGGGCCGCCGTCGACGGCGAGCTCTGCGGCTTCGCGGACCGCGGCACGGCGCGCCTCGCGCCGCCGACGCGGCCCGTGCCGCGCTACGCGCTCACGGCCGCGTCGGCCGAGGCGCGCATGCGGCGCCTCGCGGCGCACCTGCTCGCGCCCTGGCGCGGCGGCATCACGGCGCCGCCGCCGTCCTTCGCCGCGAGCCGCGACGGCGCGCGCGGCCCGGGCACGATCGAGGTCGTCGTCGCCGGCGGCGCCGCGCACGTCCGCGACGGCTTCGCGGGCCGGCGGCGGCCCTACGAGCAGGCGCGCGCGGCCTTCGTCGTGGGCCTCGCGCACCGCCTCGCGCCGGCGATCGGCGGCCCCGCGGCCTTCGCGCTGAGCACGGGCGACTGCGTCGCGACGCGCGAGTTCCGGCCCGCGGACGTCGAGGCCTGCGGCCGCCGCCCGGCGGGCGCGTACGCGCCGTGGCAGACAGGGCAGGAAAAGAGTGATTCAAGTTCGCTTCAACATGAGTGTTCCGCGCGCGCGTTCTGGAAGCATCCGCGCTTCGAGATCGCTTTTAGAGATGATCGCTCGTCCAAAAATTAGCCGAAACGAGTGGAAAACGACCGAGATATGAGCCTCCAAAGTTGGGAACTTCGCACTCTTTTCCTGCCCAGGTGGCAGACGAACGCGACGCGGCGCGTCCGGCCCGAGGACGGCGCGGCCCCCGTGCTCGCCCACGTCGCCTGCCTCGACAGCAGCGACCTGCCCGCGCCCTTCTTCATGGCCGACGGCCGCGCGAAGGCGGGCGGCGGAAAATCCGAGGGCGCGTGCGCGGCCGTGAAACGCGGCGACGTCGGCGGCTCGGGCATGCTCGCGGCCTGGGACGACCACGCGGCGGCGCTCTGCGCCGTCGCCGCGAAGCGGTCCGCGCGGAACCGGACGCTCTTCTTCCGCGGCGGCGGCACGCGGAGCTGCTGGGACGGGCGCAGCGCCGACCTGTGTGCAAATCAAATCTTCAACCCGACTTCAATGTGAGCGTATTCGAATGTTTCGACAGGAGCACTTCCGCTGTGCTTCGAGAACTCGACGTGAACAATCGATTCGTCCAAAAATCAGCCAAAAATACTTCGATTTGACCGAGCTAGAGAATTTCAAAGTTTGGTCGGGACGTCCCAAACCAGTGGTTGATTTGCACACAGGCGCCGACGTGACGCGCGACGCGGCCGCGCTCGACGACGTCCGGCCGCCCTGCGGCCGCGGCGCCCTCTTCCGCGGCGCCCTGGCCGGGGAGCTGAAGCGCGACGGCCTGCTCGACGCGCGCAAGTCCGACGGCGGCGGCGGCCACGTGTCCATGCAGGACCAGGACGGCTACGCGTACCTCCTGAGCGTCGAGGGCCACTGCGGCTTCGCGGACCGCGACAAGCACGTCTTCTGGATGGGGTCGACGCTCTTCCACCAGGAGTCGTTCTGCGAGGAGTACTACGTGCTCGCGGCGACGCCCTGGGTCCACTACGTGCCCGTGGCCTACGACTACCACAACCTGCGCGCCGCGGTCGCCTGGGCGAACGCGCACCCGCGCGACGTCGCCACGATCGCCGCCAACGCGCGCGACTTCGCGGCGACGTGGCTCACGTCGACGGGCATCGTCGCCTACTTCCGCGCGCTCCTCCTCGAGATCGCGAACGCGACGCGCTACGACGTCGCCGCGCGCCTCGGCGACGGGTCGGGCTTCGTGCCCGCGGCCGCCTACCTCAAGCCGGACCGGGGCAAGCCGGGCACCAAGGGCGCGAAGAAGAAGGCCGAGGAAGACGGCGAGGAGACCATAATCGTGTGATCGTGTGAGCTTCGGGGACGCGCGCGTTCAGAGGGGCCGGGGCGGGGGCGGGGGCATGGCGCCGAGGGCGGACGCGAGGAGCGCGGCGTCCACGCGGGCGTCGAAGGCCGTGCAGCGGTAGTCCTTCTTGTCCGTCGCGCAGGCGCGGCGCGGCCGGTCGCTCGACGCGGCCGACGCCGTCGACGACGACGCGTCGGAGACGCCGCGCCAGGGCGCGTCGTCGGCGCCGGGCGCGCGCTTCTTGGCCTCGCGCTTCTTCGCGCGGGGCCGCGACTTCGACGACTCGGACGGCGACGGCGAGACCTCGGACGCGACGCGGGCCGTGGACCCCGCCGTCAGCGACGAGATCGCCGACGACGGCACGTCGCTGACCTGGCTGCTCGGCGTGCGCAGGACGTGCGCGGCGTCGACGAGGTGCTCGAGGCGCGACGCGAGGTCCGCGGCGAAGGGCGCGCCGCGGCCGCCGGCGTCGCCGTCGGCCGCGGCGTCGTCGGCGCCGTAGGCCCACCGCGGCGACGCCGGGGGCCCGCGCGGCGACGCCGCGGCCGACCCGCGCGGCGACGCCGCGGCCAACCCGCGCGGCGACGCCGCGGCCGCGGGGAGCCCGCGCAGCGCCGCGACCTCGTCGCGCAGGGACCGGTTCTCCTCCGCGAGGGACGCGTTCTCCTCGAGGAGCGCGGCCCACGCGGCCGCGTCGTTCGCCGCCGCGCCGCCGCCGGCCGGCGCCGCGCGCGGGAGCTCGAGCGCCGGCAGGGGCGGGGGCGCGGCCCGGGGCGTCGCCGGCGACGGCGGCGGCGCGCGCGGCGCCGCGGGCGGCGACGCGGGCGCGGCCGGCGACGGCGCGAGGCCGAGCGCGCCCGCGAACGAGCCCGGCGCCGCGGCCGCGGCCGGCGCGGTCGTGTCCTCCACGGCCGCGACGAGCGCCGACGCCTCGCTCCAGAAGGCCTCGTCGTCGTCGAAGGCGAAGGGGTCCTCGCACGCCGGCGCGGCCGCCGGCGACGCGCGCGACCGCCGCCGCCGCGGCTCGCGGGACCCGCCCGAGCCCGGCGGCGGAACCGCCGCCTCGGCGCGCTCGCCCGGCGGCGTCGCCCCGGGGCGGGGGGACCCGAGGAACGCGCTCGCGCGGGCGACGACCTCGCGGAGCACGCCCGCCGACGCCGACGCCGGCGCCATGACCGCCGGGAGCGCCGGCGCGGCCGGCTCCGCCGGCGCTTCCGGAACCGGGCGGGACCGCGCCGCGTCCGCCGCGCGCGCCGCGGGGGGCGCCGGGCCCGGCGGGCCGCCGGCGAGCGCGGCGACCCAGTCCTCCTCGGGCCGGACGCCGAGGATGCGCGCGACCTTGGCGGCCCCGCCCCGGTTCTGCAGGACCTACGAGTTCGCGAGCGTTCGTTCGGCGTCGAGCGCGGTCGCGCGGGTGTCGTCTCGCTCACGACGCCGGAAGGGACGCGCACGCGCCGCCTCTTCTTCTTCACCGTCGACGCGGCCGAGGACGGATTCGGGCGCTTCGGGGGCGCGAGGATGTCGCTCATCCTCGGCGGCGGCGCATCTTCGTCCGATATCTCGTCCTCGTCCTCGTCCGAATCGTCCGACTCGACGATGGCCTCGTGGTCGTTCCAGCGGCGAATCATGTTGTGTGTGGTGGTGGTGTTCTGTGTTCGTGGACGGCCGTGGGTGTTGCGATTTGGCGCCGCGCGACGCGATCAAAAGCTTGAACAAAAGGTCAGTCGCTTGTGGAGAGGCCTTAGCTCGCCAAAACTTTTGAGGGTTTGTGCCCCTGGATGGATGCCTTATCGCTGTGGCGCAGGGAGGAATCGAAGGGAGGGAGAACGTATGGATGGCTCTGCTCACAAGGCCCTATTTAACTTTTCGAGAGCGGCTATGGCACTCTCGTCGCCCTTGGCGGCCAGACGCTCGAACAAGAGCAAGCCCTTGGATATGTCTTGTTCTACACCGGCTCCATGAAGGTAGCAGACTGCGTAATTGAACATTGCGTCCATGAAACCTTGTTCCGCGGCACGTTCGTACATTTGGAAAGCCTCAGTGCTGCACTTTGTCGCAGCCTCCCATGTCCCAAGCGGTCCCGTCCACCCATCCTCGTCAAGAGCAATTGCCAGGTTGTGCTGCGCCGTCGCGTCGCCGCGGTCCGCGGCCATGCGAAACAGCTGCATCGCCTTCTTCTTATCCAGCCTGACGCCCTCGCCCTTCATGTACCCCAGCGCAAGGCTCGACATCGCGCCCACGTCGCCTAGCTCCACGGCGCGCTTGTAAATTTTCGCGGCCTTCTTATCGCTTTTGACGAGGCCGCACCAACCGCCGCGGTATGCATCTCCCAAATACGTAAGTGCTTCCGGCACCTCGTTCTCCGCATGGCGGCGAAGACGCGCGAGCTGCTCCGCATCAGTTTCTGCGCGCGGTACACGACAGAGGGGACACGCGTCGGTGCCGATCTTGTCCTCGCACGATCGGCAGACCTTCCGGCAGCAACAGCTGCGAAGCATGCCCGCAGTATTCACGTCCCACTCATCGAGGCAGATCGGGCATCGCGAGCCCCACCGTGCCGACACCGGCTCGGGCTCCGGGTTCGCCTCGCGCCGCGCGCGAGCGGCCTCGTGCTCCGCGGCGATGCGCGCGCGGACCTCGTCGGCGTGCGAACGCGGCGCGGGGCCGTAAAAGACGACCTCCTCCGGGGGCGACGGCGGGGGCGTCGGGGCCTCCGCTCGCGCCGCCTCCGCCGCGCGCTCGTCTCGGATCTTCTTACACGCCGTGCGGTGGCCGCGCTCGCGCCAGTCCACCTTTTGACAGGCGACAGTACAGTACTGGGTGGTTCCGCAGGGGCATGGGAGCTTCGCTTTTGCTCCGCAGATGGTGCAGGTCAGCCGGAGCTTTGCGTTTTTGACCCGGGCCATGCGCTCTTCATATTCTTTTTGCTTCTTCTCCCAGTCGCGCATCGTGCGGTCCTCGTCGTAGCAAGGGCTCGTGAGGTCTCGTTCGCGTGTTCTGGGGCCTATTCTGTCTCTTGTGGCCGACGGGGGGGAGCGCTCTTATGCTCGACGCGCGCGGCGAGCCTCTTTTCGCCAGGATGCCCACGGCAAAAAATCTGCAAAAATTACCACAGGCGCCGCCGCCTCGAGCCGACGCGCGTTGGCACCCATTGGTACACAAACCCCGTAAAAAATGGACCCCCATCTGATCGACGTCGACGTCCTCGGCCGCCTCGAGCCCTGGGACCCGTCCTCCCCCCTCACCCCTCACTTCTCCAAACTCCTGACGCCCCACCTCCAGCTCACGGCCCCCGCGTCGCCCCGCGTCCAGCTCCTGCGCACGCTCGTCGATCTGACGCGGCGGCTCGACGAGGCGCCGACGAGCCTCCCGCGCGCCTTCGCCATTTCCGCGAACTCGCGCGGCGTCGTCGTCGTCGTCGAGGCATTGGGCGCGTGCCCCGCCGCCGTCGCGCGCGCCGCGCCGGGCCCCGCGCCGCTCCTCGCCGTGCGCTTCGCCGAGCGCGGCGACGACCCCGCGGACGACGCCATCGACGCGCCGTCGCCGGCGGCCGTCGCGGCGCTCGTCCGCGCGCTCCGGGCGAACGGGCGGCTCCGGGGCGGCGCCGCCGGCGCGTCGTTCCTCGCGCCGCCGCCGGCCGAGGCGCCGCCGGGCGCGCTCTTCGTCGGCCTGCGGTGCGAGCTCGTCCACATGGCGAACGGCGCCTACGACGGGCTCCGGGGCGTCCTGACGCGGCGCGGCGCGGACGGCCGCTGGTCGTTCATGCCTACGGACGTCGCCCGCGCGCTGGAGCTCCGGACGGTCGCCGAGCGGGCGACGGGCCGCGCGGACCGGACGGCGCCGCTGGCGCCCCTGTCCATCCGGCCCGAGAAGCTCCGGCCCCTCGTGCCCGACGCGCGCGCGCCACGCGCGCGGGTCCCCGACGTCGTGTCGCTGTAGGGTCGTTACACGGACCTCTCTTGCCGCCTAGTTGAGGAGGTCCGTGTACGTCTCGAGGCAGGTGACGACCGTGCCGAAGATGCCGATGCCGACGCCGAAGTAGGTGACGAGCTTCATGACGCGCGCCTCGACGGCGGAGTTCGCGAGGCCCAGCGACGTGCCGAAGAGGCCCGGGATGACGATGATGAGGCCCGCGCCCAGGGACGCGCCCATGAGGGACACGACGAAGCCCACGTCCGGCAGCACGATCGCGAGCGACGTCGGCACGGCCAACAGCAGCAGCGTGAGCCAGTTCCAGTTCGCCGGGTTCTTCGCGAGGAGCGGGTCCACCGTCGCCTTGAAGAGCGAGAAGGTCGCGTCGCGGAAGGACGTGAAGAGGAGCGGGTGGGACGACAGGAGCGACACGAGCGTCGCGACGCGCGTCACGAGCGCGAGCGGGTCGGAGCCGTCGTAGTTCGACAGAATCAACCCCTTGCAGGCGCCGCCGAAGGTCGCGTAGCCCGCGAGCATGACGGCGCCGTAGAGCAGCGCCGCGAGGCCGAAGGCCTTGAGCGCGACGGCCGCGTGGCGGTCCTTGCGCTCGAGCTCGTTGTACGCGCGGACGGCGTTCGTGTGGCACATGAACGCCGTCGACAGCATGTTGAAGAGCACGCACGTGCCCACGCAGAGGCGGGTGCTCGAGACCTGGGCGAGGGGGTCGCCGGCGCCCGCGAGCCAGGACCCGAACCGGGCCGCCGGCGCGCCGTAGGTGCCGTCGACGGCGCGCTTGACGACGACGTACGCGGACACGGCGATGGCCGCGAGCCCGGCCATGGAGCTGTGCTTGAGCGCCGACAGGTTCTTCAGGAGCGCCAGGGGCGCGATGGGGAAGCAGGCGAGGCCGACGATGGCCGCCGTGCGGCCGACGGCGCCGCCGGAGAGCTGCGCGAGCAAATCGCCGAGGAAGCAGCCGTAGGTGAGGCACGCGCCGCCGGCGACGCCCATGATCATGACGTCGATGACCCAGGACGTTTTCGGCGAGAAGCAGGCGTCCCAGAGCTCGCCGAAGTTCGCCGCGCCCGTCTTGGCGACGGCGCGGCCGACGAGCGAGTACGTGTAGGCCGATAGAGCGGCGTGCAAGGCGACGATGGCCACGGCCGGCGCGACGCCCGTGCCCGTGCCCGCGGCCATGCCCGCGGGCAGCGCGAGGATGCCGCCGCCGACGATGGTCTTGAAGAGGGACACGGTCGCCGCGCCCTCGCTCATGGTGCCGGCGACGCCGCCGCGCGTACCGAGCGGCGCGCCGCGCTTCGTCGGCGCCGGCGCCAGCGACCGCGACGACGGCGGCGCGAGCCTGCCATCGGCGACGGCGCACAGGAGGCCGAGGAGGAGGAGGCGCGCCATCGGCTCAATTGGTGAACGACGCTTGTGGCGCCGCACGAGCTCAAGTACACGATCTCGAGGGCAACGTCGGTGCACGGAGCTGCCCTTGAAGCGGCCGCGGGTCGGTGGGGCAGCCTTGCGACAATTCGACTTTCGCGTTTGGCCTGGGGACGCACGGCCGCGCGGGCTCCCGGGGGCCGGTGGCCTTGGGCGCCCTCGAGAGACGACGGCGGCCATGCCGCCGCTCCAGGACGTCCTCCTAAGCGCAGGCATCCAGGACCGGCTCGAAGCGATCCTGGCGACGTTCGTCGCCTGCGGCGCCCGGTGCGCGAACGGGACGTCGTCGGCAACTACCCCCTGCCCCCTCGGGTCGCCCGGCGAGGACCAGTTCAAGGAGTGGGAGAAGGACGTCTGCCTCCACGGCTACTCCCTCGCGTTCCACGTGCTCCGGCCGCTGCTCGCGGCCGCGGCCCGCCCTCCGACGGGCGCGCCGCTCACCAAGGGCGCGAAGAAGAAGGTCGACGCGGCGACGCGCGCGCGCGTGCTCGACCTCCTCCGGGCGCAGCCGCCGCCGGCGGCCATGGACGTCGACGCGCCCGCGCCCGCGCCGGCCGCCGCGGCGCCGCCCGCGGCGCCGGCGAACGGCGCGGCGGCGCCGCCGCCCGCGCCCGCGCCCGCGGCCGCCGAGGCGCCGGCGCCGGCGGAGGCGAAGCGGGCGCCGGCGAAGAAGGAGAAGAAGCCGCGCGAGCGCA